GGATTATATGTTAGAATTAGTTTTAATTACAAGAATTTAGAAAGAATTGAACCACCTTTCATTAAAAATGGTCTCAAAAAGACTTTAAAAAAATAAGAATATCCTTCCTCTATTTTAAACATCAACATTTATAGTGGAACTTACTATATGCTAGACACTTTCCCAGGTCATTTCATCTAAGAGTCATAAGGCACTTTTACACGGTGGTGGTCCACCAGTTTGCATATGAACACACATAGGTTCTCTAGTCAAATGGAAAATAAATAGTGGAGATAGTCAATAAGTTAATACAGGTCTTATATGTCTGATGCCCATGATCACTACACAATCCCAAACTACTAGTATGGATGACACTCAATTCAATTCAATTCAACTTTAGCTGCAGTGTAGCAAATATCTGAATAGCACGTATCTTTTATTGTATGTTCTTTCTCATAACTCTAACAATAATTTTTATGCTTGATAGAATCAGTTTGTGTACCTAGTACATCCCTTTTCAAGGTGTGGCCTATAGATCCCTGGAGTGCCCCTGCACTTTCAGAGGGTCTGTGAAGTTAAAATTATTCTTATATTAATATTAAGACATTTTATACCTTTTTCATTGTCTTTTATTTCCATTGATGGTGAAAAAGTGATCATGGGAAAAATTGATAGTGACTTAGCACCAATGAAGATATTAGCACCATGCATTAGCCAAGAAAAAGTTCAGTGTCACTTAAGCAAGTCTTTGATGAAGGAGGAAAAATGATTAATTTCCATAAATCAACACTCAAATACATAATGTATCTCTATGTATATTGCAGCTCAAGAAATGTATTGGGAAAAAAAAAAAACAAACATGCATACAATTGTTTGAGTTGTGAGCTGAACTAACTGCTTTTTTTTATTGAACACTGCTTTTTGAAAGAATGACTGACAAACTATCATTGTTAAGATTGAGTATTTGTTAGACTTTTTAAAAAAAGTTGAATGTGATTTTTACTTCAAAGAAAATAACTGAAAAAATTTATAGCCAATGACAAAATTAAGCTTGTCTAATAAAAATTAGAATTTTCAATAATTGTATTTGTCACCATGAGCTTTACAGTTCTTAACGATTAAAGATTTTTCTGATGAGATACTTGATAATATTAATAAATGTGATTTTTTTAAATTTTGTATGATAAAATATATCAATATTAAAAAAAAAACTCAGTCCATCATTTTTTGCCAAATTCCCAATGTGTGATTATACAAAATCATGCATGTATAAAAGATTAACTCAAAGCAGAAG